ATTGTAATACAATATTATTTTTATTTATTGATAATTTATTTTAAAATATTAAAATTTAATTCATAAATAATTATAAATAAAAATTGAATTGGATATAAAGTTGAAAAAATTTCTTTCTCGTGTAAGATAATTATTCATGTTTTATATAGAAGATAATATATTATAACATAAGATTATTTTTATTTATTAATAATTTATTTTAAAATATTAAAATTTAATTTATAAATAATTATAATAAATAAAAATTGATTTAAATATGAAGTTGAAAGAATCTCTAAACTCTCTTGTAAAAAAGAACTCCTCAAAATACTATTAACACAAGATAGTCAATCATGTTTTTGTATAGAGAGATTGATGAAATAACCGAATTTTATAATTTTATAGGAAAATTATAATTTATAATAAATAAATAATTTTATGATATATCATATTTTAAATTTATAATAAACAACTTTTATTGCGATACAATTCTATTTTAACTAATTATAATTTCTTTTAAAATATTGAAATATAATTAATAAAAATAAAATAATATATTAAAATAAATAAATAAATAAATAAGAAAAAGTCTTAAAGAAGTCTTCATTGAAAAAAAAATTAATTAAAACACTCATTAAAAAATGACTTTTTAAAGAAATCATTGTCTTGTTTTAATTTATAATATAACCTAACATTTTTAATTATGTAACTTTTTTTTTTTTTTTTGTTATAAAAGCTTAGGCCAAATTTATTTTCCTACAAAAGTCTAGTCTAACTTGGAATTGACATCTCATAAACCTCTGCCCAACAATGTGGCGTGTTTTCATGACTCAATTTCTCGACTTATACTTGAGACATTGAATTTGTCAAGGATGAAAACAACAAAATTTAGCAAACAATTCAAATTCATACTTTTAAACACTACACAGCCTCTAAACAAACTCAATCTTTTTTTCTTTTAAAAATAATATTTAGAATTGCCACTAATCAATATATAACATAACTAAGATAACTAAGATGCCGGTCCAAACTAGCATTAAACAATGGTGTTTGATGTAAATACTTCAACATGTCGTTAATATCACTTATCTACCTTTTATTAATATATATATATATATATATATATATATATATATATATATTTATTTTATGTTTAATATTGATTATAAATAATTTTGTATATTCTTTTGAATTATTGTATTTATTGGATATTGTTCTCACTTCTCTTAGATCAAATATACAAATTTTTAGAAAATTTGAAAATCAATTGATACTTCATTTCATTAATTCAAATTAACAGATAATCATAAAATTATTTTATACATTGATTCGAATTAATGAAACGAAATATCAAATGATTTTTAAATTTTCTAAAAATTTACAGATTTCATCTATGCATTAAGAACTTTAAATTGAACGGTTGAATCGTTAAAATTTGATATAGAACATGAATTATTGAACAGAGTAAGTCTAGGTAGACTTACTCCTGGAATAAAAAGATCCCTCCTCTCTCTCTCTATATATATATATAAGATTTTAAGAACTCATACAAGATATGGAGAAAAATGGCACAGATCTTAGGATTCATCATTTGATTACAAGTTACAGCCACGGTCCATATTTACAGATAGTGTACATTCGGCAAAACTTCCTAGCCACCGGATAACGTACCAAAAAAAAAACTATTACACACAAATGACAAATCTATGGAACCGTAGCAAATTTACATGAGCAAGGGAGACCTCAGAAAAATGAAATAAATAAATTTTAAAAATCAAAAGGAAAATCACTAACAACAAAATGTTTACAAGCTTTGATCATATTTCACACTGAAGGTTGTATTTGCAGCATATGACATGGTATTGCCCTGGCTGTCTGAGGCAGAGGATGCATTGTATGAAGAAGATGAGGCCTTGGAATCAATGTCACCACCACCCTTTCCTTCTCTGATTTTAAGGTCCATAAAATCTGAAATCATTCCTGGCTTTGTTATCTTACTTTCATCAACATCCATTTCTCCTGTGAGCATCTTGACCACAGAAGACATCGGTGGCCGGAGCTTCGAGGTGTCCTGAGTGCAAAGAAGTCCAATTTTCAGAAACTTACAAGCCTCCTCTGCATCGAAATGCCCGTTTAGCGACACGTCTACCAGCCCTACAAGTTCCCTTTGTTGATAAAGTTCCCAGGTCTGAAAGACAGAAGCTTAAATAAGAGCTGGTTCAAAAATATCATAATGCTGTGGAATGAGTAGTGTTGAGCAATGAAATCCTCAAGACTAGAAGTAGGCTGTGACAACTAGAAGACACCATTTCAATTTAAATCATGACTCTACAACCATTTCAATCTGTCCTTCATGCTGAAGGAACAAAAGAAATTATGAATGGTCCCACTAGTTATCTTCATTTGCACACGATATTCGTGTTCTACTTGACAGAAAATACAGTTCAAATAGGAAATTTAAATTCTTCATACTGAAAGAGCACACATTTTATTATCACGGATTTCAGGTAAGTCATTAAAAATGAATATTGGGTATTTTAGTTTAGCTTGAAAAGATGAAGATTGGAGAAAAACACGTGGCCATTTGAACTAATTGGAGAACAACACTAGCAAGATTTATATTTTGGTATCTCAGTTCCATGGTTCAAAATGAAAGGAAAATTAGTTATGTTGCCTTCCAAGAGGAGTGACTTTGAAACTTTATGCTAGATTGCAGTTCAAGCTTTTGAAACTTTAGCAAATGCTTTGCTATCTGTAACATTTTTTTAGACCTGTCACGGGTATTTCCAAACCCACTGGACCAAAAACTAATTTTCTTTCAGTACTATAACTGTTGCTGGTCCAAAGGATTTTCACAAATAGCAAAAATCAAACATGAGAATTTCCGCTAAATAGACCACCCTCATAACGTGTGAACACAAGGTGGCTTACCACTACTTCAACCCATCAGTGTTGCTATCTATGACATATGAATGCACTTAACATGCCTAACAATGAATGTAAAAAATTAAAAGTTGAATGCTATTACTGCTAGTACAAGAAATATAAAATGAACAATGAATATTAAGATATGGACTAACTTCCACTAAATACGAGTCTAAAGTACGATAAACAGATAATAAGAGGAAAACTTGAGTAGAAAAAGTTAAGAGTAAAATAAAAAAAGAATAAGAACAGATCACTGGAGCTTTATAACCCAAAAAAAAAAGTGTAGATTATCCGCATGCTTCTATTTCCATCAGTCCAGTATCAAAAGGATGTTTTCCCAGAGTCACCTAGTAACATGCTTCTCTGTCTGCATGCATTGGAATTCATGTAAACAGAGAGCCATACACAGACTATAATTTCTTCAAGTAAAGAAAATTCATGTTGAGGTTTCCAATCAAATACAACTCATAGTGAAGAGTATAACTTTATCATAACAATAAACAGACAATTAATGGAAAACTAAATAGAAAGAATAGTAACAACTAACAAGAATGGAGACTATAACTTTGTCAAGAGAAGAAAATCCATTTTTAGGTTTACAATTATTCATAATCTAAAAGTGGCTCCAAATTTATTAATCAAGGTTGCAATCATTCTGTTGTTTATACTTTAAAGCACAATCTTCTGTCTCAAGAGTCAAGCATATAAAAAAAAAGAATAATATTTTAATTTGACAGTTGAGACGTAATTAAAAAGCATCAAACTAGGTTTAGTAAGGACCCAATATACTGTTTTAAGGTTAGATATTTTTACAGCAGAAGGAAAGGTAAAAAAAATGCATCATTAGGAGTAACAACACAAAAATTAAACTTGATTTATTCCATATTTATTTCCATACAATTTGAAACATAGGATAGAAGGTTATATTATCACAATCTTGGCAGTGAAGTGACAACTGATTAATAGGGAGATAGATGAGTACAAGAAACTAACTAATTTATTATTTCCCCTCTAACAATGTATTTGTAAACAGTGAAATACAACTAGAACATAGAAAAGACATACCGTTTCTAGAAGAAATTGCTCTCCTATTGGTAATCGTGTATTTGTGTGACATCTTCCACTAACTATCTCCACAAGGAGGACACCAAAGCTGTAAATATCTGCTTTACGTGTAAGCTGCCCCCTTATTGCATACTCTGGTGCCAAATAACCTCTGAAATAAAATATAGAGCACTAAATTCCTGATATAAATAATAGGCAAGAAAAGGGAGATAATAGCATAAACAGAAAAAGAGAAGCTTTCCTCTTTCTCATGTAAGAAGTGAAAGGTGATGAATGCATATACTGGACATAATATATATACAATAACATCATGCTTCCATTAACACATAAGTTTACTTTAGCATCATTGTTAGTACTGCTTCCCAGGGCTAGAGTTGCTAGACACAGGGTGGAGGCAAACTAGTTCAACCAAAATTTGCTAAGCCCGAGATAATTTACATCCATTCTAGTTCACACAAGTCAGTGAGGCAACTGGAATAGAACGAGCTGTCCTCATATCATTACGTAACTTATTGTAGAGAGAATGTATGTATGTGGGTTGTTAAAAAGGGGACACAGCGTGTGAGGGAGTATTTGAAATTTGGTTAGGCCTGATTTCTATCAAGCACTGTCAATGATCTCCATTGTGGTTGATGATGAATTTAGAATCAGCAAGATTTTGTGTGTTGCATTTAAGGAACTACAAATCTTTGCACAGCACTGGTTGGCTCAACCAAAGGAACCTCCTATGTCCGAATTAAAACAAAAGAATAACAGATAATCTAAATATGAATATAAATTTCAAGGTTATTGATTGACACAAAAATGAATTGATATAAAATATGTAATAAAATCAAACCAGTCAATTAGATTCTAACTTTTTTTACATTCTATGTAAAAGATGGAGATTATTAGTTTAAAACTGGGATATTGAAGTGATCAAATTCAAGTCTTACTTTTGGCAAGGGTACCTGCTTGTTTAACAGGAAAAGTAAAATAAAAATTTCCAATTTATGTACAGACTGTATGACGGAAAACTTACATTGTTCCTGCCACACGTGTGCTGACATGAGTCATGTATGATGGAATAAGCTTTGCAAGACCAAAATCTGAAATCTTGGGAGACAGGTTTTTGTCAAGGAGAATATTGCTTGCTTTTATATCCCTATGAACAATATGTGGTCTTATTTCCTCATGAAGATAGGCAAGCCCACGTGCAACCCCAATGCAAATCTTAGATCGTGTTTTCCAGTCAAAAACAATATTACTGTGACCTGAACCTGCAAGAGAAGAGAAAATAACTTATTCAAAAAGAATTTCTGTAAGGAAATTAATATAACAACTCTATGATATTCTAAATGAAACAACATAAGTCCTTGTTCTCAAATTTTCCCAGAAAACTTTACCACAAAGTTATAATGCATTACCTAGAAGGGTTTGTGAAAGGCTATTGTTCTCCAAATAATTATAGACTAATATCCGTTGACTCCCTTCCACACAACAACCATATAGCTTAACCAAATTTTCATGCTCTATTTCAGAGATCACATTAATCTCTGTCATAAATTCTTTCACCCCTTGACTTGATTCTGCTGAAAGAACTTTTATAGCAGCTACTTTCCCATCTTTTAGCAATCCCTGATCATTAACCATAATATTGTTAAGGTTTTGTTGATAAGGAAAGGAAGAAAAAGATAATGATCAAACGAGCAAGCCAATTGATATGATGATGCAAGCAATATTGAAAAGCAGTTTAGTTACCTTATAAACTGAACCGAAGCCACCCTGCCCAATTTTATTGGCCGGGCTGAAATTGTTGGTAGCAACTTTTAGTTCTTTGTAGGTATAGATTCTTACGTTTTGAATGCCTTGGAGTTCTGTTCACAAGCATATTCAGTCAAAATCAAGAAATTTAAGCGGAATTTTCAGGTATTTTATCATAGGCATAATCTAAATTGAAACACCATAATCTTAAAATTAATAAAATATTGTTAAGTTACCTTCATCAATATCTGGATCATGTTTTGCGACAAAAGGCACTTTCTTACCAAATGAGAATGGGAAACAAGTCATGGCTGGAGGATGCAGTATTGAAAGACAGCCTATAGTGTCAAACGGAACAAATGTATTCAAACGAAACAAGTTCCAAGGTCACCTGGTCGAACCATATAAAGTGTCAATGTATAAGAATAATAAAGTGGAAGGCCAATATAAAGAACATAATAACCATAATGCAAAAATTTCAGGTCTTGCAATACAAAAGGAGACAAACTTCATTCATAGTATTTTAATTTCTACATCAGATGAGACATACAAAAGGTAATTACTGATATTATAGCTCCAACATTTTTGTCAATATTCCAATGTAATCAATAGAGGGTTCTGTAACTTCTGTTAAACTAAACTACAGTGAGGCACATATATCAGCATCATGTTGCTGTTTAAGTGCAAATTTCACTGATTATGCAAAGAGTAATGCAACATTACAATAAAAACTGTACAACTTATACAACATCACTTTTGTATCTATCTCTCTCCATTACTACGTAAATACTCTCAGTACAAGGAAAACATGTTAGACAAATTATAAAATATGCTGGTGACCCAAAAATGAGTAAATTTGGCAGTTCCTAAAGCCATATAACTAATAAAACAAACTAAGGATGCATACTTAGTTCCCAAATCACAGCTTTTTGCTAGCTTCCAAGAGGGTTTCTAAAAAAATGATTATTTCTCCAAAATTAACCAAAAAACAAACTTGCACGTCCCTCCAACGCTTTTGCCACACCTTTCTTTCCACTCTTTAATCAAAAACTATATATCTACCAAGTGGGTTTAGCTCAGCTAATTGAGCTGAGTGTCCAAGTGTTGTAAACCCTTGGCACCAAGTTCCAAAATAAAAAAATTAAAAAAAAAATCAAAACCTATTTATCTTATCTCAACCCCTGAATTCAGAATTTCCATGAGTATTATTGCTTGAAAAAGCATAAAATCTCAAATGAAAACCACTTCTTTCAACTGTATCATGTTATGCATATACTTTGTGCTGCTTTTCCCAGCTCAAGGAACATTGAAGAAAAAAATAATGTGAGCCTAGTTCCCATGTAACTAAGATACTAATTCAAATCAGGAGCATAATATCACAATTAAACTTTAGAGAACAAGTAAAAAAAATAAAAAATAAAGAAAGAAACAAATACATCAAACATTACTGATAGGAGCACTCTGCAGAAACAGACCTTAGAAAATGATGATGAAAAGAAGAAAAATCTGATGAGAGATTAGAAGAAAGGGTGAGAGGGATGTGTTGGGAAGGGTCAACGTAGAAGTTGTCAGAGATGATGGTGTTGAGTTCTATCCTGTGTTCTGCTTATTAATCAACTACACTTATACGTGGCGTGTCAGAGCGCGTAACCATATCGCATGTAATGTGAATCTCTTCTCTCTATAAATTTGCAACTATAGTTTAAAATATTTGTAAAAATAAATCAAATCGTAGCTAGTGTCCTTTAAATATTAATTAAAAATTAAAATAGAAAGGTTTAACAAAAATGTATTAATATATCTTTACTTTAATTTTAAAAAATTTCTAAAGTTATTGTTTTTAATGAATAGAGTCATTCAAGTAGTATTTGGATATTTTTAGAACAATTTTAGTGGCAATGACCTAAATCATCATGGGACTAATTAAAGTTGTGCATATTCTTTTCTTTTTATGAAATCAGATGTTTTATATGATGTTACTGAGTATGAAAAATGAAAGGCATCTAGAGAGTATTTAAAAGGAATTAATTAATATTATAGTTTTGGGATAATGAAATCATAACTTAAAAAGAATTTATAAATATTATTTGTATTAAAATGTATTTATTTTTTGATAGTTCATTCATTAAAAACTTTATAGTTATGCATGTTAACTTAAAACAACTTAAAAATGTTTATAAAAAAAATGTAAAGATAAATATTGAATAATCTTATGTTAATTTGTATGAATAATTATTAAAAATCTCACATCAAAGATGATATAACGAAAATAATATTTATAAATAATTAAGAAGAAATTATTGGACTCAAATTATAAAACTAAGCGATTTAAGATTATTATCTACCATCTTTGAAAGTAGACATCAAAATGTTCTAATGAGACATTAAAATATAATGTGGGTGACTATATAATGTGATAGAATTATTTTAGTTGACAATTTCTTTTCTAAATAATTATTTAACATGGATGTAGATGTAGAATTTAAATTTAAACTTGATTAAAGTGAAATTGGTTCAACATTCAATAATAATATGTATAAAAGAAATTCAATACTAGTTATAAATATGAAAGAAAGTAAATATTATTTAGATGTAATTTTTTTTCTTATTTTAAATTTATACACGTGTATGTACGTGTAATCTCATTTTCTAATATAGAACACATGAATAATTAGCTCTCATTTTAATAGAATCTTCCTTCTTGTCCACGTTAACAACTTTAACACTATCATTAATGGTATATTTTAATCAACAACAACAAAAAAAAGTACTCTTATTCAATCTATTATTGCATATATAAAATAAATGAGATCCACACACGTATATGAATTAAAATGAGAAAATTAGTAATATCTTCTTCAATTACAAAGATAAAGATGCCCTTAACAAAAATTAATGATCAGCTAAAGATTATGTTATGTGTTACATTTTCATATAGAATTTTCTTTCCAAAATTAAATAATATAATATCACATATATAAAGTATTGGTCACGTCACGTCACTAATATTTCTTTTTATATTTTTTTATGCTTATATAATTCCATTTTATAGGTACAAATTAAATACAACAATACTCAAATTAAACCTGAAAACAATTTAATGAATTATTTAATATTATCACAATTACAAATGAACTTGCATTTTCTATTTGTACTTTTGCAAGAAATCACCATCATGCTATAATTTGGTAAATGTTATCTTATTTTGTTTGAAGTTCGTGAATTTTATATGAACAAATGCTTCATTATATTCAACTTGCATGTGTCATAATTGGTTAGGTGAGATAACGGATGTTGACTTTATGCTGCAGACTGGTCAATATTCAATATGGAGATGTTGAATGGTGACATTAAAATATTGTAAATGTAAATTATAAAGATGGGAGTTCCTCGCCTGCACACACTTGTTCAACGTTCATGGTGTAAATAATGCTATTTTTTGTATTTTATATAAAAATAAATAGATATATTTTTATCTTAATTGTCATTATAAAATCATTTTTAAATATATTAATTACTCTTTTTTAAGTCTTCAATTTATCGTGAAGTCTGTTTACAAGATGTTTAGCCATTGCTAAGGTACAAGTCATTTTTTTTATTTGAAGCATCTTTTTTCAAATAAAAAAAATCAATTTACATTTCTATTATTTATAATAGAGGAAAAAAATATTTCGTATCTCTTTATTTTAAAAAATAATAATGAATAGTTATTTAAAGTGTTAAAGATTTAAAATATACTAAAATGTTGCCGTCAAGTAAAACTAAGATTTGAGAATAAATAAATAAATAAATAAAATAAAATAAAAAAATAAATATGAGTCATTATCTTGTGTGATAGTGTTTTTAAGATTTTTCTTCAATGAAAGAGTTTATAGGAAAAAAATTTAACTTCTTATCAAATAAACTTTTCATAATTATTTATGAATTAAAATATTAATATTTTAAAAAAGTTATCAATAAAAAAATATTATAATATAAATTACTTATCACAAAACTAAAATATAATTTATGTGTTTAAATATATTTATTTATATAAATTTTGAATGTAATTTACATATTTAAGATTTAAATATATTTTCAGTCTCTCCAATTTAAGGTAAATTTATTTTTAATCTCTCAAATTTAAAATTGATATTTTCATTCCCTATAAATTTTTTAAAAAATTATTTTAATCCTTATATTCAAATTTATTAAAAAATCTATCAAATATTGTTATATAAAATGTAACTATTGGTGTCTTCAGTTAGTAAAAATATCATATTAAACTTAGTTGATAGTGCATAATTGTCTCATTATGTCACTTTTATATATATTATTGGTAACTTGATGGATTAAAATAAAATTTTTAAAAATTAAATGGACTAAAAATAATAACTTTAAAATTGTGGGATCAAACACAAATTATCCTAAATTTGAGAAACTAAAAATATATTTAAGCTTATATTTAAATATATTATTTATTTATATATGTAATTTATCAAAAAAAATTAATTATATAATATAATAAACATATATATGTACATTACATAGACTTAAAATACTAGTACAAGAGAATCGTACTTAGTTAAAATTTAATTTTTATAGAAATTTTGATTTTGCTGCATTTTTGAAAATTTTAAAACTCATAATGGTCCTTGTGATAAATTTTTTTTGTTGAATTATAAGTAATATCATAAAATATAGTTACCGGTTAAATCATTTAATTTTATGAATATTTTTCATAAAATTTAAATCATATTATTAATTAAAAATAATTGAGTTAATTACTTTTATTAGTATTACTTATTCATTGTTTTGACAACCCAATTTTCGGTGAAAAGGGTATTGCTTCAATTATGAATAATCTCAATTTAAACAAAGAGTTAGGATTTGATAGTAATTCAAGGATTAAGAAAACATAGGGTTACAACTTCAATTGCCCATTATTATTTGTTCAATTCTAATTTAATTGAATTATAATTTTAAATGTCAATTTTGTCTCTCAAGTTAATCATTTTTTCATTAAAATTAACATTATTTACCTTATATAATTTCTAAATTGGCCATATAGTAACTTATACAAGGCAAAACATGAAGAACATATAGGTTGATTAAATTAATTAACTTAATTGGAAGCTTAGAGAACTAGTTTGATCATACAAGTTTCTAACCTTGATTATTTTGTGGTTTCATTAATTAAAAAATGTTGGTCACGTACTATTAATCAACTATCGTATTATTTTGATTGATAAAATCTTTGTACAAGATAATCCAATCTATATAGAAAAAGTTCAAATTAAAATAAAATTGGGGATCAGATAAAACATCAATTCAAGTTCTGATTATTATTACTGTATAAAAAAAATATAATATGAATTCCAACATTTAATATTTAATTTAAATTAAAGAACGAAGAACGCAATCGTGCTCTATGAAAATTCTATGAAGACAAATCTTTTTCGTATTTTTCTAATATGAATTCGGGAGTTTGAGATATAGCCTGCACAAGACAGAGTGTTCAAGTGGGTAAAAATCTAAAAATTGAGTAAAATTTACCACAATCATCAAATGATACTACTAACATAAATCTAAGTCAAAACATGAATATAAGACACATACAAAAGTTAAAAATGCCAAATAAATGCATATAAAGTTGCTTCCTAAAATGCACTATCAAGATCAAAGGTTCAACCCACATCACAATCCTACCTTGTAATTTAGCTAGACATTGTAGATATAAAGCACAAAATTACAATGAAAGACATTAGAAAAGGAGGAAAAAGGGGGAAAATCCATTACAAATAGTTCCTTTTGAAGTGAATAAAATAACACAAGAAAGGGGTTTAATTTTGTTCAAAGGCTTTTTTTAAATCCCCTATCTTTCATGTATAAAATCTGTTATTTCACAAATGGTCCAAAAAGTTATTTCTTGAACTCAAAATAGATATCATTTTGAACTCAAAATAAAGAGTTGTTCTTAATTCAAAATGAACATTCAAAAGCTATTTGAAAATACTTAATATAGTTATTAAACTTGAAGCATTGCTAAATGTTTCATGTACTTTATGAAAGGTTTTTTTTTTCTATTTTGAAATATTGTTTGCTTAACTCTATAAGGTTCAAAATAATCTATTTGGAATATAAAATAGTGGAGCATGTAAAGGAAAAGAGAAAGAATACATGAAATTTTTATACTAGGTCACCCCATATCAATGCTACGTCTGGTTCTCAATACATCAGAGATATTTTCACTATGAACAAACTCCAACCAATCCAATTGGATAGAATCCAAATTATTCTATTTCCTAATGTTAGCAATGTATAGTGGTCAAATAGGAACATTTTCTTCTCGAGACATTTTACTTTTTTTCATCATGTGGGAATTAGAATTAATTCCCGTTTATCTACTTTTATCTATGTGGGGTGGCAAAAAATGTTTGTATTCCGCTACAAAGTTTATTTTGTACACTGCAAGAAGTTCCATTTTTTTTATTACCAATAATTCTGGGTATTAGTTAATTATATGGTTATAATGAACACACGTCAACCACTCGCAGTGGTTACCTTTATATAGCTCACAACTTTTGTTGGGCATTTAAGCCTAAATGCACTTATTATGCATTTCCACACAACATCT